TCAGTGAATACCATCCAAAGTGGCTAAATGGCCAACGAGTTGATCTAATAACCTAAAGATCCCGGATCCGATCCCTGATGGGATAGTTGGTATGCACTGTTGAGGATTTCCAAACTCCGATGAAGTAGCTGTCTAATGCTCCCCGGTTTACAATAATCTCTAACTGATGTTGGTTCGCGACGAAATCTACATTGAAATTCACCCAAATCCCTACAGAAACCCACAACCTAAAAGAGAAATTTATCATGCCTTGCAGACTTATTCCGTTTACTCGCTAGCCATTAACATACATAATAAGAGGCACTAATCAAGTCAAACTAGTTAGAACACACGGAATTGAAATTAACTACCATGTCACTAATTTATTCCCTTACACTTACCATTCAATGTTTACAACTTTACACCTCACACGTAATAACCACACATACATCTTTACGTAATAAGCTGTTTTCCATAGACAAGAATAGGGATTCCGACTGCTAAGACTGTGGTCAGGTTTTTTTTAATTATATACCCTTAATTCTGTGTTGATGTAAAGAGCTATATTTAGTATATCAGTTGGTTTCATCGTTTTCAAATGTTGCATGCTAAGTAATATTGGGTCGATAATCAGTCTGTTGATTGATTTCAATCTTTTTTAAGTCTCTCTCTATATATACAATATGGGATATTATTATGACTGCTGGTTTGAACTGTTGACCCAAGACAGTAAAGTGCTCTCTACTCAACGGTCTGTCTTCTTCCTTTCCCGCGTCGCGTATCAGTGGTATCGTGTTGTGGCGGTTGCCGTTGCGAATAGATATTAGAACAGCAGTCTCGCAAATCTACTAGTTAGTAAGTTCGTTAGCGCAAGCGATTCGTAAACTATTAGATTGTATTGACGGTCATATCACTTACAGTGCGAGTATACGATTGCACATCTCTTTTCGTATATTTAGATATAAATATTCACTAAGTTTGTTAATCTGTCTTACGATTTGAAGGGAGTATTAAGATTTTGGTAGGTCAGCAGGGGACAGTTATCTATTTACCCAATATTAGTTACGTAACCAATAAAAACAATAAGAACTAAATAGCTGTTTCTCTATGATTTAAGAATCCTCAGCAGTATATGCATGTAACCCAACCAGGGGTTGAATTCTAGACAATCGTGTCACAAAGCGATTCTGTAACATTCAGTCACCAATTTGAAATCTGACAATTCATGACTTCCAAATCCTGCGAACTCACGATGCTGTAAAATCCCCACCTAAACTCGATATATATCTACCCGCACACTTAAGGTGGTGTACCCCACTGGTCACTACTTTTCCTCAGAAATTCGGAGCACATCTGAATTTCAAAATACTGTTTATTGGTGACTGGCTTCGAAGTGGAAATTCAGAAATTTATCGAAAATACAGAAATACGGAGTCTCATTTACCATTTAATGACTGACATACCACAAATTAGCGAGAAAGTCAAAAGAAACCACTATACTTCTGCATAAACCACTTTCAAGAACTGTGTTAGGAGTCAGACGGAAGGAAATCCTAGAATCACGTTTTGTATTCAATCACAAACATCGCAAATCAACTTTGCCGTGTTTTGAAAAAGCATGCTTCCTTCAAGACTCGAATGTATACCACCACTCAGTGCCAAACTCACTGATTTACAAGGTTTTCTTGTAGGACTAATCGACCTACACAAACTGATGAACAGACGGTAACGAATGGTTTTCCATGTTAAGGTCACTGAAATCAGAAGTGAATGGTACAGATTCAAATTCCAGATAGATCATTAGTTTCTTTGGCACTGATAATCCGCCTAGTTGACTATTGCTGACAAACACAGTTTACTACTGATTAGTCCTTCCTTACATACAATGTTGTGTGACCCAAGTTGCTGGCTATGTTGCACACTTGACTGGTAAGCTTAGGCCAATACACTCTGAAGATTAGACTCGTTACTATCCGGTAGAAAGTATTTTAACATGTTTGGTTCCTTTAATCGAATCAAGAATAATAATCCATTCGGATAAAGAATGGTTAATGCTCAAATCAAATCTGAAATCAAAAATCTTAATTCTATCTATAGTGATACACTTTTATCATGCAAATCTCCTATCAGCATGTGGAAACTTTTTAATGAAATTACTGGCAATAGTAAGCGTTGTAATGCTTTTCCATCTTATGATGTTAATGCTCTTAATCAGTGTTTTATACGCTGTCCTTCTACTTTAACTACCTCTTATGTTACCTATCATGTAGCTGAAAACTTTCATGACTTTAATACTCTCGATGTTCTAAAATGTCTTAAAACACTCAAGCCCTCACGTAGCCTTGGCCCTGATGGTATACCTGCATATGTTCTAAAACAATGTGCAGATGCGTTGAGTTCTCCACTAACCAACATCCTAAATGCTTCTTTCTCCAAAAATATCGTACCAGATGCATGGAAAGACATCAAAATTGTCCCTGTCCCTAAACCTGGAAACGGCAAGAACGTAAAGTTCAGACCCATTGCCATCACTTCCCCGTTTCTAAAGCTTATGGAAAAACTAATACTTCTTAAACTTGAACCCTCCCTTAAAAACTTTGAAGACCCCAAACAATTTGCCTATAGACAGGGTAGGAGCACTTTAGACGCTGCAGCTGTCTTACACAACAACATCATTAGATAAAGGTGCCAAATACGTCCGCTGCACGTTTCTCGACTTCACTTCTGCTTTTGACTCTGTTCCTAGATGTCTCCGGCTAAATAAGCTCTCTTTGACAAAAACTGAGTCCTGAGTCACTAACTGGCTGCATTCCTACTTCTCTAACAGAAAGCAGTACACCGTATATAAAGGTAAATCAACCTCTGCTGTACTCACTGAAGCCGGAGTCCCCCAAGGTGCTGTACTCTCCCCACTTCTCTTTTCTTTCTTTCTACATGACTTACCATCTTCAAATGACATTAATTTTGTCAAATATGCTGACGACCTGACTGTATCTTTGCCTGTCAAATGTCAAAGCGACTGCTCTAAACTTAATGGCTTTCTGTCAGAAATCAGCCAGTGGTCCAAGGAAAACGGTCTTAACCTAAACCCCTCCAAATGCCAAACGGTCAACTTCACCTTTAGGCATAAATCCGACCTAAGCAAACTGGTTGGCTCTCACGAGGTATGCACCATCGACGGCATTGAAATAGAAACCAAATCGGAAATTAAATACCTAGGTGTCATTCTATCTTCTGATCTGCTAATTCATCTGCAGTTTCCATGGCGTGTACCACGTGCGCTTATCAGGGAACCCAGTGACATCGGATGAGGTTCAGCTGGCGTCAGTGTAGCACTAAGCGCCACAGCCTAAGACGAATTACTTACCATGATTTCCATTAACAGACGTTTGTATACTGTGAGACTAGATCATACCAGAGAAAGACGAAACCATCCAGATAAGCATCGCCTATGGGTCATCTCTATGTGTAACAAAAGATTACAGTTCGGATTTATTTAAAGATGAATTCCACTACCAAATGACTGAGCCCCTGAATCATGAGTCCAACCCGAAAAGGTCGGCAGTCAAGGCTAAGAAGAGAGTTGTCTAAGTGGTCAGTTGTGACTACATGGCTGCAAGTCAAACTATCAGAACGGTCTCCGGTGGATTCGCACAGATCACAGCTTGTTTATAGCCAACACCGACTTCCAGCACAGTTGTCGCAGTAACGCCACCTAGCATCCTTCCTCTGTTACGCAAGCATGAACTCAAACAGATCATATTGTTATCAGCTACCGATGGTTTGGGTGCATACAAAACTGACACTCCCTCTGAAGCACTTATACAGATTCTGATCATGCTTTATTGTGTTAGGTTTATCCTGCAATTAAGTGGTGGTCATAAATGTCACCAACCACAGGTTGGCATAGGAAAACTAGAAGCTCCTACTACCTCAGTGAAGTATCAAACCGAGTTAAAATCAAGGCTAGATACCAATTCCTCAGACAGAAATGATAAACACTGACAGCACCTACAAGACACCAAGAAAATTGACAGTAAAACCGCTCGAAGCTTACAACGACATCCGCTAAAAATCTATGGGTTCCCACGAGTTTCTTCGCAACTCCATTACGCCTATCAGTCCATTCCTGCAGATAGTGAATGTAGCAACCTACGTTAGGTATTCACACATGCGATCAGACAAAGCTTACGTAAGGACAGTGAAGCCTTAATGGCCAGAATGTGAGTGTGAGATAGAATCAACAGCTGCATCTGGTAAACTGGAAGCTATTCCACCGCATCCGAACAACTGGGGCGAGAAGTATGGCATCCGCGAGATGGTCTATGAGGCAGACAATGCGCTGATTAACATGGAATGCTGAGAAACAGTTTAACTGGCTTACAGTGCGAATGCCCAAAATTATCAATTAAAGTAGTCTATAATCGATTAATACCAATCCTCCAAACGAAGTAGATTTGAAATGAACTTAAAGTACTCTAGCGCCATAAGGCACCAAGCCCAGACAAATTATCCCCGACACATTTTTAAGATATTTGTGAGAATTTAGTCAAGGAACTATCTGGATCTTTCAGGAAAGAGCCTAACCAAAGAACAGTAACCAGAGTCTGAACGCACCCATGACTTTGATTCCAAATCACAAATTAGAAAGAAACAAGTATTAAATAGTAGGAAGTTATGTAGTTGGTGTTTCACGGTCTACTGCATCTATGCATGCATAATGAGTGTAATATTGATTGCTCACTCCAAATTACACGGTTACTGATACACAATAAACATTGAGAATTTTCAGTACATAATCGTGCATACAATAAATAGGCTTAAGAACTTTGATAGAACACCCTAAAAGACATCCCAGGCTTAAAATCAAGCTTATACAAAGATCAGCAGAAACACTAGTGTTAAAGACCGACAAATCAAATAACGATATATAATTTTTCTAATATTCTTATATGAGAAGTACACAGCTGTAAGAAAATAATTTGCAATATTTACTCAATCTGGGGTTTATGGAAGTTTACCACAGAAATTCTGGATCATTCCTTTGAGCCCAAAAATCCCTCTTTTTGAACACCGCTACTTCGGTTTCATGTACTAAAATAAGAACATTGAAAATGCAAGGATTAGAATTGCCATTCACTACTTAGTGACAACAATCTCATATATATATATATATATATATATATATATATATATATATATAACAGGAGTTTTGAACTGTTTACATCCTAGAGTTATACTAGATATTGCTATCTCAATTAGGATATCAAGGGGTTAGTTATAACTTTAGATTCTAACTGAGTTCAGACTGAATTATTGGTTCAACAGTGTTTGAACAAACGTTAAACTGGAATCGTTGATACTTGGCCTACATTTTTGCAAAAAGGTGTACCTGTATGTTTGAGTGAATTCGTCTGCTCAAAGTGTATTGAGGTCACATTTTCACGCTTTACTAAACATCCTATTTAAATGAATTGAAAAAGAATATATATGTTCAATAATAAAATGTACAGACAGGTTGATGGAGTGGCCATGGGATCCCCACTATGACCTATTTTCGCGAACATATTTCTAGCAAAACTAGAAAATAGTCCGTTGAAAGGTGAAATAGCATAAATGGAAATGTGTTGTTGTTACATGGACGACACTTTTTCAATATACGTTGAAGGGTTCCGTAGTGATTTCAGTTTGAGCAACTTAAATAATGCTCACCCAGCAGTCCATTTCATCTACGAAGGAGAATACAACGACTCTCTCCACTTCCTCGACGTCCTACTAACGAAAAGAGAGGATGGTTCCGTCAAAAGGACCATATCCAGATAGCCAGAGACCAAAGCTCACTATATACACTTTTTCAACTTCGTATCGATGAAATACAAACGTAGACTGTGTAGAGAAAGAACTACAGGTGATCCGAGACATTCTAAGCGAGAACGGATATCCACAGAAGTTCATTAAAGCCAACATAGGTTACAATAGTCGTAAACACGAACCGCCAACGGTGGAGAATAAGCCTCTATTTATGCGTCTACAATTCAGGGAAGATACTCCTGCGGAGATTCTATCGCAACGTTTAACCAGGGCGATAAAGAAAACTTTCTACTCTGCACGTCTGTGTCTATCCTTCAGTAGCCGTCCAATGTTCACTCAGCAACTAAAAGATGTCTTACCTAAGCTTAGCTCTTCTTCATGGATATGCTATATCAACTGTTCCTGTGGTTCTAAGTTATATAGGCAGCACGATTAGGTAGGTTCGTCTACGGGTTCGAGAACAGTTACCAGCTTGGTTCATAAAGGGGAAAATTAAGTGCATAAAAAGCTCGATCCTGTCACACTTTGTTGATACTAGACATCGCATCGACGCCAACACAGCTTTCAGGGTTATATACCCAATTCTGAAGTCGTTATCACGTACAGTTCGCTTACGTCTCACACATACCTGAAGCTGTTGCAATAGGATCGACTAAACCGGAACTTTGTATCCAAAAAGAACACATCCAGACGCTGTTCCTACCGTGGCCAAACTTGGATCAGTGATTCTTCTTCTTACCAAAAGTGCTTCTTCGCCTTTCTTTGCTTATTATTACAATTATTATTATTAATCGTCATAATCTATACCCTCCATCCAAACATTCTCTCAATACTATCGAATTTCCCATTTACACTATCCGGACTTATTATTAGTGATATTATCTCTTTTTTTCAAAATATGCATCCACCTGTTTCATTTCACACATTCGTTATTTCATTATGAACCACTCATTGCAATCTTACTATCTCCTCTTTAATACATACTACTTAGTACTAGCCACTCACCTGACACTATATCTTCGAACTGACTTGTTATTCTACGAATCTATTATGACTAATCACCACCATTGTAACCGATTTCTGCCTAGCACGTTTGTCACACAAATACTATTTATTTTGACACCCCAGAACTTATGTTATTATTCTACGTAAAAAATGTATCCGCCACATAACTGACTATTATTGTAACCACAACAAATATTATGGTTTATAATTATAAGAACTTGAAGAGAAATTATTGAAAAGCATATTCTTCGTTCAGACTGACTATTAATTCATATTATGGCAATATTTCACACTATTAAATCAAAACCTTTAGTTTGACGGAGTTCACACAGTCATCCTTGATCTGAGTGATTGAACATGAACCTGATTCACGCTATATCTTAACTATACAGTTTCTTACTACTGTCGCTTTCCAACAGAAAGTCCCTTCAATAAGGTGTGGGCGTTATTTTCCCTAGGTAACTGCTGATCTCACTTCGGTTGACCTGACATTCATTGTGAATTCAGCCCGTTGTATTCACATTGAGGGCTACATATTAGCAGGTCCGCATATTGCACGTTGACTGAGATGACGATTAATTGCTAATATATCCCAGTTCCATGCACAAGAAAACTTTATAGTCATCTTCCTTTTATACTTCAAGAACGCAATCGCTATTTCCGCAATGTATCGAAATAAATAATTTCGAATCAAAAGGTTACACAGTTAACCAAAATTATATATGTCCAAACCAGGTTCTCCTTAAACAGTTTCGGCATAATAGTGTTTGTATTTTCCAATGAATGAAAAACAAAATAACATTGTTTTACTGATGTTTCGCTATTTAGTGCCAACAGCTTTATCGAAGTATTATTAAGCCAGAATTTACAAAATTTCAGCTTATATGTAACAACTTAATCATTGTTCATCAGCATGGGGTGATTTTTGCATTGTCAAGTTGGCCAATTGTTAAAGATAACAAAACCAGGTGTAAATTGTTGGATTATAAAAAATGTGTATTTATATAATGATATTGCTTATCACATTCGTGTTGATTTTGTCACTTCATGGGGGAGGAAGGTGTTGTAGCCAGGTCAACTTCTGTTTTAGTCCATCATTCCTATTCAGACAATTTGGATTCCACTTGATATGAAGTGATTCTGATATTAGACGTTCTTTGTGATTTCTGAAACTTAATTACCATTTCTAGACTGCCTAGTTAAGAGGATATATATCTATATTTAGGAGGAAAACCCACTCCAACATATGCTTAAACTTTGGGTCATCATACCCCCATTAGTGTCAAGCCGTCAGTTGTTTCAAGTCTTCTTAGACTAGGACACTCTTTGATAACGGATGAGAAGGAGAAAGAAGAAGAAATATCAAACTATACTAAAATTCTCGCGTCGGTGGCATAGAGGTTAGGACTCTCGCTGACCATGCACATGGTCCGGGGTTTCGATCCCCGGCCGACGCACTCCTTTACCTCGCTAAGCCAGAAATAAAGCTGCTGAAGAGTAAAGGTTGGGCATGAGGCTAGCCACCTCATCCTGTAAAATAAACACTGCTACAGAAACTTCAAGCCACTAGCTTGGAGCCTTATGTTCCACTAGGGGACGTGAAGGAAAAAAGAATACTAAAATTCTCAAGAAAAATAACTAACCAATGAACTTCATTAACACAATCACCAAGGTCATTAGGTGTGGTCGAAAAAGTATTCCGAAGACATGGGCTTTAACAGATGTCATTCCATGTGGATCAGAGACGTCAGACGATATCAGAAGAGAACTCAATAAGCTCGACATCAGAGTTTTCTTCAAAACATCAGACACACTACGAAACAACCTTGTCCATATAAAAGACCAAATCCCTAAAGATTCTCTAATTGTGTCTATGTATGATGACCCAAAGTTTAAGCATATGTTGGAGTGGGTTTTCCTCCTAAATATAGATATATATCCTCTTAACTAGGCAGTCTAGAAATGGTAATTAAGTTTCAGAAATCACAAAGAACGTCTAATATCAGAATCACTTCATATCAAGTGGAATCCAAATTGTCTGAATAGGAATGATGGACTAAAACAGAAGTTGACCTGGCTACAACACCTTCCTCCCCCATGAAGTGACAAAATCAACACGAATGTGATAAGCAATATCATTATATAAATACACATTTTTTATAATCCAACAATTTACACCTGGTTTTGTTATCTTTAACAATTGGCCAACTTGACAATGCAAAAATCACCCCATGCTGATGAACAATGATTAAGTTGTTATATATAAGCTGAAATTTTGTAAATTCTGGCTTAATAATACTTCGATAAAGCTGTTGGCACTAAATAGCGAAACATCAGTAAAACAATGTTATTTTGTTTTTCATTCATTGGAAAATACAAACACTTTTATTATAATGAGTTGGCTAAAATATATTTACAGGTAATACTGTCCTAGTAAAATGATAGTCATAAGCTGATGATTACCACATACCTATTCCAAGAGACTGTATAGTCTCTGTAGAATTGTCAGAAATAGGATCATCATCTACGTCGACCAACAGTTCACCTGACTAAAACAGAATAGTTACAGGAACGTTGCAAGCCAAATATCTCACCTTCATTGCGAAAGCTTTGTGACGAATCTTCAGTGCATCTTTGAGAAGACGTAAGGATATGTAGTGAATAAAGATGAATTAAAATTGGCTATAATTTATATACCAAACAGATTAAATGTGGGGACAAACATTCATATTTAATAGAAATGAAGAGCACTAAGTAATTTAACAAGTGTGAGGCGTCCGCGACTTTTACTAAATCTTGTCAGATATTTGAAAAATATAACTATTAGGATAATTGAAAATAACGACTGCTGGTTTTTACTGTACATAATAGTTCCTCACTATTTGATGGGAAGAGAAGACGAAATTAATGTATTCAAAACCTAAATGAAATTCGCTTTCTATATTTTGCGAAATCAAGCAGCCAATATATGGAAGACAAATTAATATACTAACACCTAATGATTTTCAACAAGCACTACCTAGGTAATCCTTTGAGCTAAACACTTAGGAAAAGTGAGATATCATTATTTTTGCATTCCAAGACGAATTCTTCATTTAAATAAACTTTGTTTTAATAACCTGTCTGTTTTCGACATAGAACTTTGCACCGATGTGCAGCAGTTCAAGTCGCCACACTCCACGTAGCACACAGAGTAAGAGAAGAAATGCATAATAGAGACAGTAAACAGAGGTGTGAGACAAAGGAATAGTAATAACGAAGAACGATATAGTTTCATTGGAACGATTTTGAGCCATGTCACCAATTGTTTCCAACCATTGGTTTTAACCGTCCCGAGGACCCAAAACAGGAAGTCTATACCTTCTTACGTGGCTTAGACTAACTGTTGTAGATTTCACTAACTGGTGCCATGTTCGTTAGCTCTTTTTCAGCCTGACCCTATGTCAGCTAACATTGCCCGTCGAGGAAGGCGATGACTAGACATACGTAACACATGTCCTAACCATCTCAGTCGATGTAATTTCACAGCCTCTTCGATTGTTTTCCCCTCCTTACCTAGAACTCGACGCCTAACCTCAATATTGCTCACCTTATTATACCACTTCGCACGGGAGATAGAACGCAGGCACCTATGATCGGAGACAGCTAATCTTTCCATGTCTTCCACTCTCAATGGCCAGGTCTCACAGCCATAAAGGAGGACGGAGCGGACTGATGAACAGTACAACCGCCCTTTGGTCGATAGCCAGATATCACATCTACGCCAGAGACGGTATAAACTAGCATATGCAAAACTAGCCCTCGGTATCCGTACTGAGATTTCGTCAGAGATCAGCCCGTTGATGCTGATGGTACTTCCCAAATAAGTGAAGCGGTCAACGTGCTCTACCACTTCACTCCCTATTTCTAAACTAGGAGTCAGTGTAGTCCAGCCCTGTAACATCATCTTACATTTGGCGGGAGCGAATCGCATGCCAAACATTCGTAGATTGCAGCTCAAGGTGTTCAGAAGACTCTGCATTTTGTCAGCGTCCTCGCCTCGAAGGGCTATATCGCCTGCATATTCTAAGTCAACGAGATTATTCCCTGGTAGCAAGTCAGTCCCTGAGTCTCTGAAGTGAGTTAGGGTTAAGTCCATTAGTACATCTACGATGAAATTGAATAGAAATGGGAATAATGGGCATCCCTGACGGACACCACTAGTCGTCACCACTTCAGATGACAACTCGCCATGAGCCCTCACCTGACTGCATGAGCTCGAGTAGAGTGCAATGTATTTTCTCGGCATTCCATTTACTGCCAATCATCGCCAGAGTACCTCTCGGTCGACAGAATCGAATGCCGCCTTTAGGTCAAGAAATATAATGATTGTTGGACGCCGGTAAGAATGTCTATGTTCTAAAATCTGTCGAAGGGTGAAGATATGATCAATACACCCTCTTCCTGGTCTAAAGCCTGCCTGGTTCTTTCGTGTTTGTGCCTCCCGAGCACCACTTAGTCTACGCAATATTATTGAGCCTAGGACTTTAGATACTATATTAGTCAAGCTAATCCCTCTGTGATTATCATAGGAAGACTTGTCTCTCTTCTTGTATATGGGGATAATCAGTGACTTACACCAACCCGATGGGACTTCCTCCGATTCCCAGACGCTGCCTGGTACCTCAGTTAACGCAGACAGTTAACTGTCTCCACCGTATTTAAATACCGCTGGAGTCATTCCATTAAATCCTGATGCTTTGCCTTGTCTCAGATTAGTGACAGCTTTAGTAACCTCAGTTAGGGACGGAGGATCTGTGTCTATATCCCATTTCAGGGTGGTGTTGGATGCTAGCTAAGTTGAGCGTGGCTGTCGGCCAATTAAATTACTCCTCGAAGTTTTCTTCTCAACGTTTCAGTCGTCTATCCTGAGAGCTAATTATGGTGCCATTTTTCTCAGAGATTGTTTTACTTATCGTTCGCCTTTTACCACCTGTTTCCCTGATAAGCCTGATTAGTTGTCTGGTATTACCTATCGCCGATGCCTTTTCCATCTCTTTCGCTCTTGTCGCCCACCACTGTACACGGTCGTTGCGAAGACTTCTTGTTAGTTTTCGTTTGAGTAGCTTTCGCTTCTCATAATAATCGGTGCTCACCCGAATCAGTCTTTTTGCGTCAATCAGTTCGGATGAGGCGGTAGAAATCCAATGACTCTTACTAACTTTTGGTTTTAGTTTATTAACAGCTTTTACAGCTGTGTCTACAGCTAACTGTATGTTGTGCCAGGCTACCTCAGGGGAAGTCCTGCTGTCCACCTCAGACACTCGTTTTGCTATTTCTTCTTTAAATAGGGACTCAGTGTCAAGATCTAGTTGGGGACGTAACTGTTTTGTTGCCATCGATTTCTTATGCCCGTTTAGTCGTAAGCATAAACGTGCGCGAACCAGAGCGTGATCAGAGTCTACGCACGTGCTCCAGAAGGAGCGGCAGTCTTCTACTGACCCTCACCAACGATACCCTATCGCTATGCGGTCTATCTGAATCCAGCGTTGATTTGGTGATGGAGGTCGCCAGGTTACGCAGTGTCTCTCTTTGTGCCTAAAGTTAGTGCTGACTAGGAACAGATGATTATCTCAGCAAAACTGTAGAAGACTATCACCGTTGTCGGTTCGTCGGCAGGGAACTCCATACGTACCACCTACATACTTCTGTCTGGCACAACTTCCCTACTTGGGCATTGAAGTCGCCTGCTAAACCAACTATATCTCAGCGTTTTGATTTTTGCAGCAAATTAGACAGTTTCAGGTAGAAATCATCCTTTAGTTCATCTGAACGGAGACTACGAAAAGGCAACGACGGGTAGCGCCATCCTTCCTTCTTTTAACGGACCCATTCAGACGGACCGCACACATACGACTGTCTACTGGGATCCAGTCAAGATGTGATTTTTTTCGCCCTAACACTCAGTGCTATCCCTACACCTGCGAGTCCTCACGAGATAGCTGAGGGGTCTCCTGACATCCTTAAAGTGAATTTTGCAGATCCACTTTGTTGACCGGGTGAGGTTAAATGAATGACCACACTCGGGTCTTGTATGCGTGTCTCCGAAACACAACATACATCCATGGCTCGAGATGCCAGAGTTCTTTCTAGTGATGCCTGTTGTTCGATTTGGCAGATGGTCCCTACGTTCAATGCTCCTATATAAAGTTGGCGACGTGGCTTTAAGAGGCTATCTGGGGTGTTTCTATAGCTCTCATCGTTATTTGTGGTCACAGAGTGAAGTGAAGATGACTCACTAGCCTGCAGAATAGTACTAACTGTAGTAGAGAAGCAAGATGAGGACGGTGATGTGAGTAGAGAATAATGCTCAGGAAGGATTCGTGTGCTTTTGGAAGTGTGTAGGCGGTTGTTACTTCCCGGCTGCCCACACCGTGGAAGTTGATTGATTCTTCGAGTACCTGAAACAGAGAGAGGATTAGTGCTGCGTGACCGCAGAGCCCAGGGGACAACTGCTTGAGGACGGTCACACGGCCTGTATGAACTGGTTTCTTGGTTTGGTTCCATATTAGTAAACTTACCACCGGTTACGGACAACCGCAGGGTAATTCGGGACGTACAATTTTCGGGGTCGACCTTTACTAACCTTCTCTCTCCGAAGTGGAGAGACAGCATAGCTGGCATGCTGGTCATCTGAGGGAAACACCCTACTGCTGTTACATCCCTGTTCCCCAGCAGTACAACTTCGCCCTCAGACCCCCCCCAGCATAGTGTAAGAGAGATTCTTACACAATGCCAGTAACTGCTTTTAGTCTAATCACTATCCTAACAACCTTCCTGGCATGGTAGGACCTGCAGGAACATTGGTTCCAGCCAGTGCAGCTTTTGGATCATCGCGATGTGCAAGCCCGACCACCACGTCAAGATAGCAGCTACCGGTTGGGATATGTGTGATATCGGTAGCCCAAATTTTGCAGGCCGACCAACTGATATCAGGTATGCGTCAGTAGGGGATCGAACCCCGGACCATTTGCATGGTCGACGAGAGTCCTAACCGCTGTGCAACCATCGATATGTCGATGACACATTTGTAGTGTGCAACAATGAAAGTCATGCTTCCTACCTACTGAGATTACTCAACAACGCACATATCAATACTGAATTTACTATGGAACATGAAAGTGATGGAAAGTTCCATTTCCTCGACATTGCCATGCAACCCCTAGAAGATGGTTGTCTCCAGAAGTCAATTTACCGAAAGGACAATGCCTACATTTTAGTAGTTTTTGTCCAAATAGCTTTAAACGAGCAGTAGTCAAGACTCTATAACATAGAGCTAGGAGATTATACTCTACAGAGAAATGAGAGGAAGAACCCGTGTTTCTTGAAAAGCTGTTGAAAAGCAACGGTTACCCTCAAAAGTTCATTAACAAGTACGGAAGATCTGAAGGCGCAAATGTCAAGCAAATCACAGTGGAATAAAAGCTCAACTATATTCAACTTGATTTTAAAGGTAGAAATATTGCAGTAATTGTCGACAGAAGATTGAGGATGCCACAAGGCAGAGCCTATCCTGCAGCTAAGCTGGTTCACGTCTATCAAACAACTTGTCCTTTGATGCAATCGAAAATCGACAGATATCCTTCTCATGTTAACTCCAACGGTGTATACAAATTTACATGTATCTGCGGGATAAGTTACATTGGAAGAACAGAAAGAAGGGCATACCTCCAATTTTCTGAACATGTACCAAAAATCCTACATCTCTAGGGTACAAATGCTTTAAGCAATGCCATTGCCCGGCATCTCATTGACACGGATCATGAGGTGGGCGTCGCAAGATAGTTCAAAATTATCAATAGGCAAAAGAGTTCAACTCTACTTAAGCTTGCCAAAGTAATCTCCACATTTCTATTCTTTTTACCTTATATCTCTGTTTATTATCTCCCTTTTGAATCTCTTTACTCTCTTGTCTTGCTTTGTGTGCTAAATGGAGAGCGGCAACTCAAATAGTTGCATATCAGTGCAAAGTTCTACGTTGGAACCAATCAATCTGTTAGTAAGTTTATTTTTAAAAACGATGCACAAAAGCAATACTATTAATAAGTGTAATTAAGAATCTGTGTACGGTATAGCATAGTATCAAAAAATGTGTAAGGAAAATTCATACACAATGATAATGAGAGCAAATGCATTCAAATTTGCAGAACGTTAATTTACAGCTGCCTAGACATGTCGTATAAAGTAATAACAAAGTAAACAGAAGGCCACCATATATCCAACAAAAGCAACCGAATCTCTCTCTTAAGCTTTAAATACGACAAGTTAAAAATTATACTTTCACTCACCATAGGAATAACTCTTGAAGGGTGGTGGCGCAGCAGAATTTCTCAGCTCTAATTGTGATAATTCAAACTATTTCTGAAGAACCAATTACCATGATGTATACGATCAAATAGTTCTCTAACAGTAGCTGATTGGGGGATGTTTTTCAAAGGCATGTAGAACGTCGTGCGGTATTTAAAAGAACGAATAAAAGTAACTGGAACAGTGATCCCCTGATCCATTAGTGAAGAAACACTATAAAAATGCAATTATACCTTCAAGTAATATTTAGTAAAAAGGTAATTGCGTATTAGGCGACAGTAACAACCAACAAATGAAACCACCACTGGTAAGAAAGGCAAAGTAATAGAGGCAGCGGAAAGTCTAGGAAAGTAATGGTGATAGTGAGAAAAACCGGGAATCTCCGAGCCCGTTGTGCGAAAATTCACATTATGTGTTTATACCACCCAAAGCTTGTCACTAGGCAACATTGATAAGACTAATTAGACTATTAAGTTTTATACTACAACGACTATAAGTAACTTTTAAAATATTAAATTGATGGTATGCGAACATGAAACCATAATGCTAACCTATTTTCCGTAAAAATGTACTTTACTTGCTAAGAATAAGGGATAAATAAAGGACCATTAAAACGTACTGCATATGAAGACTTTATAAAAGTCCCACTTCGCTATTGTCAGTTCCGTGGTATATCTGAAAGACAGCTTTGGTTCCCAAACAGAACCAAGCGTGTCCCTAAGTGAAACCTTTAAGTTGTGAATAAGTTTGCCGACCATTTCCGTGGTCTGAAAAGTAAAAGATGTCGCAATACAACTTGCAACTGATCTCTAAACTTATGACTTTTTGTTGAATGAAGTCTAAAAGACTTCAAAAATGACTAGACGGATCCTTTCGGCTTTACTTCTTCGGTGACGTATTTTAATGAATCCATATCATAAACTGTTATGCCAAACTATACTATGCTTTGTGTGTCGCTTCGTACTCTGCTACAAATTTGTCAGATTTGAACTTGACACTGCGTCAAAAGTATGGGACTAAATCACAGCAGCCCAAAACGAAACCATCCGATGAACGGATCAATGACCTTGAGCAACCAGTCAAATGAGTTCTTATTATATAGGGGGAACTATGTATGCTACACACGAATTACGTGGCAATCCAAATCTAGGATTTAAGTAGTGCTCAGACAACAGGCTCACTGGAAGGCAGAAAACGCGCAGCCAACTGTTATCCAAGGGCTACATTCACCAAGTGGTCAGCCATACAGACGACTTAGTTAATCTTTTCGATGGGACTCATACAAATTCCATCGAAAGTTTCTAGAGTCACCTAAAAAAGAAGAGCGAAGAAGTGGATAAGTCAAGAAACAAGATGATTTACGTGCAGAATTTAGATTCTCTCACAGAGTGGTCAACGACTGGAACTCCTTACTTGATTGAGTAGTAACAGCTCCATCGGGGAACGCTTTCAAAGAGAAGTTAGATCTCTGCAGAGATATATTCTGCAAGGATTAACACAGGCCACAATAGCCTTCTATCCTTATCAACTGAATCTGAATCTGAATCCAGACGAATTTAAGCGCAGAAATTGGTCTAACCTAACTACGTACGAGGACTCCTATGAGAAGTTGGGGGGTTTTTCTTGGAACATATACACAGGACATTATCATATATAACTACTTTTTAACACTGCATTAATTGCATATTAACTATGGTGCGTGTCGCTAAGGTTAACCTGAAACAGAACAAAACGCACGTCGCCACGGTGGTCAAACAAGTATCGCGTGCTGGTAAAAAAGAAGGCTCAAGGTCAAGGATTGGAAGACCGATCCCTGAGCTCCACGGCATATAGTTGAAACATTAGAAAACCGCCGAACTTACCAAGCCTTACAAAACGTTTTTTAAATTACGCACTCGGCCAAGTTAAACTTTAAGCACCACTAACTACCAATGGAGCGCGACAGCACCAATGACCTTGAAGTGCCTACTGAGTAAATCGGTGACACCTGGCAAATAATATTGTCATCATCAGTAAAATATGCTCATCGAACTGTCGTGGGATATCTGGCAAGTTTCAGCTTAGGTTTGAAAAAGATTAAGTTACGCTTTAAGCCAAGGACAAGTTGGGATTAGGTTAACCTAATAAAGGCGACATTAGGGTTGGTTAGAATTAGAGTACATTTAGTTTAGGAATATTTTCACGTTAGTTTTGGGTTCAGGAAAGATTAGGGCGTTAGGAGACCTCAATAATTACATGCATAGAGTGTAGTTAAATTGCTCTTTTGATATAAGAGTAGTACTTGAGCACATAATTGTGTACTGTGGTAGAGTATAATTCCATTGTGGGTAAAATGTATTCCGACAAAGTCTCAGTGTTATACAGTAATATTTACTGATAACCACGTTTCGTGCACAATTTATTGCTCAGGAAATATTACTGTATTACACTATGAGACTTTATCAGAATGAATTTTACCCACAATGGAATTGCACTCTGTTGATACTCCAACCTAAAACTGAGAGCTATTTTTATCGCCTGTGAGAGGAAGGTATCCTCTGTAACACTTTTCTGCAGCTTTTATACGTCTTTTCATCAATATATGTATTTCATACACAAAAGTGGCTCCTTCACGTGGTTGGTGCGTTCGAGGTTGTTCGTTGATTGGTAGTTGGTGGCGCTTAAAGTTTAACTTTGCCATGAACTCCTATTGCAGGCGCATCTGATTGGTCGATGAAGATTCCTCAAAGTCTTTATCAGGTAGCTTCTTTTTGGGCTACTATAGTTTAGAGAGTTGAAATTATCTCAAGGCCATTGAAAGAGTTAGACACCTAAAGTTCACTTTCGTCCATGTTGGACTGCCATTCCCTAACCGCCCGTTCGCACATAGGCCTTTATGTTTACCCTGCAGTCGTCCACAACTTATCTTGATGCACATTATTCACAAATGAGCAAGAGTAAACAATAGGCACCGAAGTCAAATGAGCTTGACTCGGCCGATTAAATAACTCAGCATTACAAATGGTTGCTAGTGATAATCCCTGGACTTGGTTTCGTCTTTTCTGTGGAAAATGGGTTGATAGGAGGACTAAAACATGCATACGTGGAGAGATGATGACCCTGATAAAGTATTGCCGGGCTACTGATGGTTACGCATTCAGATGCAACCACTGTTATATGAGGAAGTCTGTGGGAGTTGGCAAGCCGTACATTATGGCGATTTTTCAGGTATTTTCTTCTCGAAATCGAAACTCTCCCTCAGTATTATACTTTGTATATGAGATCAGTATTTGCTACAACTGCAGAAATAGAGAAAGCATTGGTTTGATGTATCTATAACCACTTCCATCAGAAATTGGAGCCAGTTTTTGCATCATATTAAAGATTCATACCCTGTTTGATTCATTTCTATTACCTATGTACCATAGGTACACTTTTTTTATAAATTAAGTACCACTTTTCACCTAGAAGAATCTGACTGGCTGCTTCAGGGTCATCCGAAGTCCGTGACTATTTAGATGTTGCGTTTCACCTCATTTTTCTTTCCGTTGCTGTTAAAATTAGTTATTTCGTTTGTTTCGAAAGCTTTTACCACAGGGCAGTTCATTCATTTCATTGCTATTGTTTCACACGTTGCATTCATGCGTGTTTACAGTGTTATAGTTGTGTTTTCAGCTGTTAATGAAATAGTACTGTGTAGAAGTTTCGGAAATTATGCACGTGAACATGTTTGGGCGTCAGAAGCTGTCGTTTCCAGTTCATTTGTTGGTTGCTGTTATTGTTACTGGCTCAGTTGCTTAATTAACATGTAGAAATCTAGAAAAAACAGTATCTTTCACGTTTATGTTTACAGCATGCAGCAATCTGCGAGTAAATCTGGTGAAAAGAGCACGATCAGAGATGGTGTTAGCAAGGTTTTCGAAGAACATCTAAACGTGGAGGATTTAGAACTTGGGTTGAATTCGAAAAGGCCTTGAAGCTTTTCGAGAAGGTGAGTATGCCATTAGTGTGTCTATTATTAGTTAAAAAACTAGTTATATTGTGAGAGAACCTAAATTGAACAAGGATGGACCACATGTGAAGTATTCATACGTGATGTTTGTATGTACATTTGTAAACACAAAGAAATTGAAAGGCAAAGAGAAATCCCTGGGGTAATTGTTACCTATCGTTATTAATGCTTAAAGTACTAGATCCAAATACTTGAAATAGAACTGTCTGTAGTAAAGTCAATGTTATCAGCCATTCAATATGCTGCTAAACGATTCAAAAAGCGGATAGCTACGAATGTGCGAACTTTCCGAAGTAAAGGTAAGACTTTATTCAGTGATTTTCTCAAAGTTACAACAAGATGAGAAGCTGATTATTGAAAACATTGCCCGAATAAAAATTGCTTGTTTCAGTTCAAGTAATGAAATTTTTATTCTTCGATATTTGTGGTTTCTCCATGGGTATAATTACTAGATGTCCATGACTTTTAAAAAACTTTCCTTGCACCAGTGATCTTCTTTTTCTTGGTGAAGCATTTTTGACACGTTTAGACGAAAACATAGTATGTGACTGAGAACCGTAGCCGCTGTGCTTCAGATTAATTTCGTACGTCTAGCTTATAACCCTATGAATGTCGCTTTTTCCTCACGGTGTATTACAACACCTAGAAATCACAAGCACACTGCCTTCGGTGAATTTAGTTTTACGTTTTAAGTGATTGCAAATAGTGAGTCACTTGAGGTGATCGGATATATACCTGTAAACGCTTTCGTGGAGATTAGGATATATTAACTTTTATCGACTCGGAGAAGATCTTTTTACCAAGAAAGTTCTCAGGATGTTTCTTAGCTCATCGTTAAGTAAACAGTCTATTTGATGATGTCACTGCATATTAACAGATTAATGAAGTAGCTATCAACCCTACTTTACTACATTTACTTGTACTACAGACTTGCGACTGGCTAGATAGGGCGAATTCAGCATTTCCACAGTACAGAATTATTATTCAACTTGCTAAATCCTACCTAGTTTTTACACTGTGCTATTGTACAGAAACGGATGCGAAATCCTATGAATGACTAAAGTAAAAGTCTCATAATACTACAGTAAATCCCCATCCTACTAACCAAGCCTAACGTGCATCAATCCGAATTCACATATTACA